AAGTCATGCAAATCAGTCCCAAGAAGATACCGCTGTGGGAAGACAATTAGATGCACAATGCCATCAAGGAAGTCACCATTCATCTGTCATTCTTGACGAGCAATTCACTAGTAAGACATATGTATATACCATAGTTTGTAATAATGTCACATTTTATCATATTTTAGTAAATTTAGAAATACTACAAGAGGCCTACACACAGAGTTTTATATGCTGGCAAGAATGATGTACATTATCTTCCTTCAAGTCACAAGATAACCTATGTTTCTGCAAAGTAATGGAGTTAATGTTTCTGATTAGGACAGGGTTAACTTAAAAAAAAATCACATCTACTGCTATAATGATCCTGTGAGCCAAAGATTCAAAATATATTCCTTATGTTTTTCAGTTTACTTTGTACATTTGAGAGAGCTTTGCATATAATCACTTCATTGCACGTGTCTTTAACTTGGCAATGGAGCATAGAAATAAATTTTTCAACATGAAAGTAAAACTAAAAAAGTCCAAACATTGCTGGGGAAGCTCAAGTGTAGCCACAGGACTTGAAAATATTTTTAAAATACTTTTGTTTCAAGATGACAATATGTCTTTAACACTATTGGTGTCTGGATAATTTTTTAGGTCGCTTAGGGCTGTGTAGCACAGTACAATGTGCCAGAGTTCCATGACATCCTATGAAGGTGAAAACAAGCATGGAAAATCCCAGTACTGGTTTAGAAGGGTTGTTTCTTTCTGAAAATACCCAATTATCTGTAAAATGCTTCAGATTTCCAATCCCAAAGCACTTGGAGATCATGGCTCTTGCGAATGTACTCTTTTAAGCCTCCATTCAGCAAGATTAATTACATACAGACTTAAGAAACACTTATCTTGGTTGGTTTAAACAGGGATGATTCTGCCTTGAGCAGGGGGTTGGACTAGATGAATCCTGAGGTCCCTTTCAGCCCTACTTTTCTAAGATTCTAAGAAACTTATTCACATGCATTACTAAGTAGGTGAGTAGTTGCATTCTCTTCAGCAGAATTATCCAATCGTTTGATTAAAATTCTGATGCATTTAAGTTCCTGACTAATCAAAGCTTTAAGAAGTATTAGCAAAAGTTTATCTTTTGTTTAAAATGTAAACTCTTTAAAGACAAGCACTCCATATTTGCTTTAGAATTTTGTTACTTGTTATAGACCACATGATTTGCAGTGTATTATAAAGGACAAAGAAAGAAAGAAGAGATGGAGTTTCTCTTAGAAGTGATACATCTGTCACGCAACTGAGGGCCTGTCCACAACACTGAGTGCACATCTATTTTGGAATAATTAAGAATGCCTATTTTTAATTGGCTTCATCCATCTGGATTAAGCCAGGAAAAAGCACTCTTTTTTTCCCCCCCAATAAATGTGTCCCCACATGGGGTTAGGTTCAGAATGGTTCCTAGACTTGATATTTACACTCTACCTTATTCTGTAGTGACTTTCATTTGGAGACAAGCCCTGAGGCACTTGCTCAAAGCAGCACGGGAAAGGCTGCACAACCAAAGGCCACAGCTTACACCATTTCATGGATAAAGAGGAATTCAGTCTACAGGTATAAATAAATATCATTTTAAAGGAGTTGTTTCCTTGTGTGATGCAAGTTTGACAATATAACAGAAACTCCTTGATTATTCTTCATAATTACCTGGAAGCACTGTGGCCAATTTTCCTTTCATTATGATGAATAAAGCATGTGAGTAGTCCTGTTTTCTTCACTAGGATCACATACTCTACAATTTGCTTCTTTATGATGTATAAAAGAAGACTTGAGAGTGTAGGGTTTTTTCCCCCTGGTTTTCCTTTTACCTTAGAAGCATCAGAAATGTTAAAGTCTGGTCTTTCCTTGTTTTGCTGGAAGACTTATTGGAGGTATACAATATTGTGCTGAGCATTTTATCCATTACCTGAAGGGGCACGGTATTGAACTGTAACCAGAAATGTCCTTCCTTCCAAAGGATTTATCAGTCTTTTAAATTAAACATAAGCAAGCAAAAGTTAAAGCTCTGAACTCACTGAATACAATTTAGGTTTTACTTTACTAGAAAATATGATGCGATAATTCAATGGATTTTCCAGCTACTACAGGTAGTTCTAGACAGAAACTGAATTCCAAACTCAAGAGACAAGTAGAAAAAAAGATCCTTTAGTTTGAACAACAAAAATGAAACAGAAGTCAATTCTGACCTTCCTTATAAGAAATAAGAGAAGTGAAATTCTTTCTCCATCTTTTTTATACTCCATCTTTCAAATTCTGTTATGCTTCATGCAAACTGCAGAATAAGGCTATACTATTCACCTACTTGAACAATTTCAAAGGCACTGCATCCATCATAGGCCAACCCCATTCCACTTGCAATTAAAAACAAGCTCAGAAACATTCCTTAAGGAAAAAGAAAGATGAAAAAATCAGATGCACCCTGAGGAGTGAAATTATACAATAGAAAAAATGGTATTTTAAAAACATCAATGTTTGTAAACACCCACTGTCTGAAGCTGTGCTCTATAACTGGACATTAATGTTAAATTCTTAGTTACAATGAGTACATATTACTTGTACATAAAAGCATAATAAAAATAAGTTTGGGGTGGGGGGGAGGGGAGGAACTGCCAAAAGAAGCGAGTACTCCCAAAATAATACCAGGGCTTTCACAGAACCACTTTAGGGCAGACATCTGTCAGCTGAAAAAATGTCTACATTTAAACACATCTAAGCACCTCCAATTTCCTGAAACAAAAACTGAATGGAGGCACCTAGCTGGAAATCACATGGTGACATCTATGTGTGAACAACAGACATCTGTGCACTTGTCTTTGGATCTGGAATTTTCTAAAAGATTCTGTAAAATTTAAAATCAGAAGAGTTTTATAAAGCATAGAAAATGTTCTTCCCTTCTTTTGTGAAATGACTTGTAAAACATTGGTATGGGTATTAAGAGTCAGAAGTACTAATTCAAGATCCATGGAGGTCGTTCATCAATGGTTTGAGGTAGTCCTCTTCTAGAGTGGACATCTATTTACTGTATCAGTTCTGGCATCCTTTGCTGGTCTTCTGTAGAGCAATAGCTTGCTGTTGGATGAAATGTTTTGCCTGTTTTTCCAGTGGACAATCAGAAACAATACAGGACAATATGGCAGCAATAATGGAGGAGATCCCAAATGACAGACCACATTTGGTGGTCTGTGTTCACTAGTAGTGGATAAAATGTGTAAGTTATACAAATATGATCATATACTGCAAATACCAATCCAGAGTAACACTGATGACTTTAGGGAGGAAAGGATGTCTCAGGCAAGTGCTAACTGTGGAAGAAAACCATAGAATTTATCTCTGACTTCACCATCTATTTACTCCAGGCTCAGTAGTTAAGGAGATTTAGATTACTGGGACTTACTCTTTTAATGAAAAAAAATAAGCATCTCAGTTTCTAATACATTATCCTGAGTAATATTGTTATAGTAGTACTTCATAGTATTTCATGTGATAAGCAGATGTATCACAAGCCAACACAAACTTGACCATAAATCTAGATATTTGAAAAGAAAACTGCTCTGGAGTTTTCTACACATTATCAGTTATGACAGTAAGCACCTGCACCAAATTTTATATCCAGGAAGAAGGAGGTAATTTTCTTTTTGTTTCTGATACAAACTTATGCGGTGGGTTTTTGTAGACATCTGTTAATGTCATTTAGGTAGAGCTACAAAGTATCTCTGCACTTCATCTATTCAATGTGGAGTTACCTCTTCTCATCAGACGCATCAAAATTTTAAAATAGCTTCTAAGTCATTGCCAACAAAAGAGGGGGAAAAGTTTCTTTCAAACTACTCTGATCTTACAGAAGCATCAGCAACTTTTCAGGTAGACCATTACAGATCAAATCAGTAAACTGTATGTTGCAGACCAAAACTAAAATGTCACAAAGTAGAATAAGGGAGAGAGAAAGCATCCCTCGTATTCCTAGCACTAAATATTAAAACTTAACTTTTATTTGAACATTAATATAATTTATCATAAAAATGCTCTTTTAAAGGGCATTGCAGAGTAAGTTTTTCATTTTCCACTAATTTAAGCCACGTATCTGGCTAGCATTTAAAAACATGCAATGCAACCAATTAACAAATTGTAAAACAAGTAGTAAGTACAGACTAATAACAGCTTCCCACCAAATATATTAGTTTATATATTATCCATTCCATTTGGATAATTAACATTTCCCCCTATTTTATAGGAGAGTTTATATTTTTCTTTAAAAAAAAGAAAGTCATCACAAATTCACAGGAAACACTGTCAAATGAATTCAATTGCTGCATATGTAGCGAGTCACTGAGTGAAACTCTTTTTTATGAGCACATGAGGAAAGCTGGCATTCAGTTCTAGCACAACTCTATTATCAATTTGTGAACAGAAGGACACATCAAGTAAAGAAAGATCTTTACAAGACTCCAGCAATTTTCTTAAAGATGTAGGGCTTACCATCCTCGTCCCTGTTTAAAAAGAAGATAGAAAAGAAAACCTCAAAAAGTTAATGTGAATCAAACCTTTGTTTTAAACCTACCAATATACAATATAGGAAGAAAACTGCTACTGTACTACAAACATCATTATCTTGGCTATATTTCAAAAGAAGGGCCCCTTTTGGGGCAATATTTTACATTTTTTTCCTACAGAAGATCTGTGGGATTTCCATAGCTTCAATTATATAGAGAATTCTCCTAAGTTACTTAGGAAAATGGGATTCTTTTTTCTTGGTTCTGGCAAAGCTTTCCAACTAGTGCAAATGGTCATACCAGACCTGTGTCTGTCTTGCCCCCGTTGTCTGTGATAAACTGGCACACATAGGGCTACATAGTATTAGGACCCACTGTAATTTCAAGAAGTGCACTAGGCCTCACTGACTTCATTGGAAACTGAAGTGCAACTCAAAAAAATATGGAGAACAACCCACCAAAGGATTATTTTAAAGGGTGCCTTGAGCCTTCACAACAGACACTGAACCATAACAGAAACGCATATTTTTTATGGCCAACTGCCCCACTGCTGCAGTGATTAACCTCTGTCAGTGGTTTACTACATGACAGGAACCATGTCCTACAGTTATACATAGGGGTTTACTTAATTAGTGGTTTTACAGTTTTCGCAAAAACTACAAAAAATGGCATTGTCTGTAACGGCCGGGAAATCTTGCATTGGCCATGATTTCCCACAACATCAACCTAAAAAAATCCCCCAAAACAGAGTACTATTCATTAAGGATGCAGTTTTAGAATGTCCCAATACTTTCTCTGATACAAAGACAACACGACAATCACTGAAACCATAGATCAGTGATTGAGAGTTACTGTCTGGCTGTCTGCTAGTGACATAGACTAAGTGAAGGTGTCAGTCAGTGAAGTGAATATGCCTCTCTGCCAATCAGTGGTGAGGGGCAGGGCCACCACGAAATGCCTGCAAAATCAGCTCTTCATGCCACGACCAAGCTGAGAAAATTGCTTCATCTACTGCAAGATAAGCAGACTCCTAGTTGTACACAATGGTTTACCTAGATTGTGCACAGTTAGGGATGTTTCTCAAGAAAATAAAAAATAAAAGGATCTGTAGCACACATTTTGCATCCTACATTCTTCAGAGAAGGGACAGCCTATTCTGTCATTTACCAATCTACCCTTTCCAAGATTGTGGGGTTTGGGTCCCTTGTTATTTGCTAGAGTTTTTCTACTTGGACTAAATGTTCATTGTTCAGAACAAATGCACAGCAGGTGTCTTAAAATCTGTCATTTTACTTTGTTGTTCAATTTGTTCCCTGGCAAAATTCTCTGGCACTGGCTTCATAAAGAGTGCCTGAGAGCAATAATTTATTGTACACTGGGACAATTTTGTTCATTAGCTGTGAATTAGCATTCCTATATACATATCCATATGTCCAATCCACCAATCCTAGCCCTGTAGGGAAGACCCATACATTGCAGCTGTCAAAGAGGCACCTCAATAAAATTTTGAAACCCTAAATTCTGTGGTAGGGGATATCTGAACACACTCTTAGGAAATAGTTCAAAACAGTTTCAAGTGAAAAACATCTGTCTCTAGTAATTTCATATAAAAAAAGAACTAAGCATTAGAAATAACTTTAGAGAAGCTATGTATGAGGATACCAATTTGACAGGTACAGAACTCTGTGTTCTGTGCTACAAATTAGGTTATATGGCAGGGACCCCAAATTTTCTGGCACCGTTCCTGCAAACCCTCTTGCCTCACTCCCCAGTGCAGTTCAATTAATATTAGTACTTTGTTGTTTGTTTTTTAATTCAATTTATTCTACACTGCTCTCAAGGTCTAAATTTCGATGTGCTTAATATTCTTCTATTTGAATGAAGCTCTCAGGGAAAAACTGAGGATGTTGACAGCTGGGCAGGGGACAGTTGGGGGTTTTGGCAATCAGGCATGGGAGATGTGTTGGTATCCAGAAGGGGATTATTTTGGCACTAGGAAGGGTATTCTACCCCCATTTTTTTTGTACAGGGCTGAGGAAACTGAATTTTAGAGGGTGGGATTTGAATGACTTTCACCAACACTGATAGCCAATAGGTGTCTTACTGCACTCTGCCTCAGTTTCCGAGACCACAACTGTGACAACTGTAAAAAGAACAACAGACTAATGGTTGACATTTAAATTGTTGTCAACCTCAGAGTTAACACTCCAGTGAGATGAAAAAGGACAGCTCACCACCTCTCATTGTTTCAGGAACAACTGTTTGCATTGGAAGGTTAGCTTCATAACAAGGCCAAGAGCAGTGGCAGAGACATTTATGTATTCCTGCTCTTGTCTGCCATAATTCTCCCTGCACAGTATTAGTAAATCAAGTTGTGAACCAGCACAGCATGCAGATGGCTGAGGGAGTATTATGGTGGCTGGAATTATGTTAATACTGTACCACACTGCCTCCTTTAGTCTCATGGTGAATTGTGTAGCTGCAGGCATGAATCAGGTCCTCAACATTTTTATATGGAAGTTTACTTTTTGAAGCATGTTTTCTGCATCTATTTACAAATAAATCTATTTAAAAATAAATCAATAACTAATCAGCAATTTACATGATGTCAGAATAGCAAGGATCCCTGCAAATAGATTATTTTCATACTCTACGAAGTCGGCAAACCAAGACACCTAGAAATTAGCAAGCAGTAAAGAAGGGAATAAGGAAAGAAGAAAGCAACTGTAACTCTCAAGACCCAGCAACTGAATGCAGCATCCAATGTGCATGGGACAATGATTTTGTAACGCTTCATAAATGAATGAATTAAATGGGTTGTAGTCCAACATGTCTTCTCATAAATGTGGGGTTTTTTCTGCCCAGGAAGTTATCATGGAGCTAAACATGCTATAATCGAAACGGGAGGATTTTTCCCAGCCGAGTTTGTAAAACTGCAGAATGGAACCAAGTCTGTGTTGCCAAGTCTTGTGAATTTACTGTGAGGAATGCCATTTTGGCTGCTACTTCAGCAGTCTCCCTATAGTGTGAAAAACTCCAGCCATGATTTGTGGGTCATGTAAGAGACTTCCCTATATAATGCTCTGTTGCCTATAGGAATGGTACTAAAATTGTAACCCTGAGAACACGAATTTTGCCCAAACTCTTTCACTGACTTCTGTTAATATTTCTGTGCCCTTTGCAACCCAAATTGCAAATCAAGGTTTCATACATTACAGGCATAACTACAATTTAACAATTTTATAGGTAACAGAGGTTGGACAGAGAGGAGCAGAAGTTCCTTAGACAAAGCTGAGAACACATCCTAGGTGTCTGACCTAGCAGAACAAAATCTTATCCATATTGCCACAGATTTTGAGAAGGAACATATCAAATTAGGTGCCTATGTAATTTACAGTGACCACAAGGCACTCTGACACCCTCTAACAGCTGGACTACAAATAGATATTTGTGACCCTGCTATTCTTTCCATACAAAAAAGATCAGACTCTTGAGATCAAGCAGTAAGGTTTCACACTTTTACATTAGAAATCTTGGGTTCAGTCTCTGCAGATGACCCTAAAATGGTTGTTATATTTGGCTATACTGTCTATAACCAGTAGACCATAACCTATTTCTGTAGGAACAGAAACTCTTAATTCTTATGTCCAGAGTTCCTTAGAAATATAAGAAATATCTGAATAATTCAGTGGCAACATGTCTGTTGCATCTCCTTGCATTGGCTGGTTTACAGAAGAAAACATCATGCTTTCCACCATTACTTATAGATGGAAGTGGAAGAGGTCTGGGATGAGGATCTGAAGATTTTGCAGGGTCAAATCTCACATGATCTATGTTATACTGAAAAACACACATATAGAAGTTAGCATAATTCTTGGAGATATTTTATATTGCAAAATACTGAATTTATAAGTAAAATTAAATGTTGTGATACTATTTTTACTGTTACATTTGTGAGAGTCACATACCCCTTTAAGAATAAGATATGAAGGCATTTAACTGTTTTAAAGCAAACACAATGGACATTTTGCTTTCATGTCTAGAGGATGGAAAACCCTCTGCCAATGCAAATTCCAGTGGTAAGAACTTGATTTAACAAACCCATCTTTCCAGAAAAAAAGTCTTATTCTTGAAGGGAACATTAGTCTTTATGGAGGATTTGATGAGTCAGAAAACTGCTAATGAACTACAGCACTTTTCTTTTGTAGATTATCAGCTTGAGCTCAGCCCAGCTAAGAAAAAAAATTCAAATTCTTCCTATGTATTGGTATCATACATAAAATAGTGTACTGTAGCTCAGTTCCAGCACCCAAGTACTTAATTTACTGCTGTGCTTTACACTAAAAATACAAATTCTTCAGTGCAGAGGCTGTTTCCTTATGTGCGTTTTGCAGCACAATGTGACCTCAATCTTGGCTGAAGCCCCTATCTACAGCTTCTAACAGTAGGGCCAAAATTGCCTTACTCACTATAAATTTTCTAGAGTTGGCAACATTATAATTGTTACATGTGCATTTTGGGAGCACGCAAGAGGATTTCAGAAACCCAGGAGGAACAATTTGATCTTTGAAACACCCATCCCCACAACCCCTCCCCCCCAGTCAAAACCCAAACTCCATAAAACAACTCCCCTCCCCTCAAATGACCTCATACTTTTATGAAGTCTGAATAGAGGTTTTTCTAGCTGAAACCTTGCTATAAGGATCTGGATGTTTTAAGGCGCTTATTGCTCATGGGAAGAGGGCTAAGAGAAAAGGAGAAAGAACCGTTTCCCAACAAGGCCTCCAATAAAAAGGACTTTGTTTAATAGAAAGAAGCAAAGCAATTAATATAGTACAAAAGTGGTAAGTGAGGAAGCACCCCTAAGCAGGTTAGGTAACTGGATTCAAACTCATCTAGCAAGTTTTCTCCGTAACAACTGATTTAAACAGGACACAAGTACAGTTCCAGAATAGGTGAACTGCACATTGTTTAAGAATATATTGCAACTTTATATGAGGTCTCACTGTGAAAGGTTTCCTACAAAATATGTAACAGTACATCCTGACTTGTTAACAGTCATAAGTGCTCAGGAGTTCAGCGTCTTCCTTTTCACTGTTCAGATACTATTTTGCATAAGTGTCAACAAGTGAATTCAAATATTAAGAGGGAATGTGGCAAGAAACCATCAGAGCTGGCACAGCCTGCAGTCATTCTATGAGCTAAACAACCAGATTATTCATTGCTCAGCCTCTCTGCTCTAGCAAAAAGGTCAGCTCAATTTGTGGGCAGACACAACGCCATCGTAACAGATAAGCATTAAAGTGGGTGGCTAACAGACATATATGTTTATAAAATGCTTTATGCAGTAAGTCTTTGGAAATCTTTCTTGTGCCCTCATTAATCTAGTTGCAAAACAAATTGAATTAAAAAAAAAAAAAATCAAACTATATCAAACAAAAAAGTACCTGTAGGTACATAAGTCATAATTGATCCTTCTGCAGTAAGTGGTGCAAGATTTCACATTTTTATCCTTTCCTTCCAGCGTTGACTGGATCTTGACATTAGTGGACTCCCTCTGGACACTATTTTTGCAGGGCTACAAAATCTGTCATACTCCAAAAAATAAAGTGCTATGGGTAGCCACGTGTTCAAAGCCCCCTGGCTGGAGCATAACAGAGCTGGAACAAAGGCATATTCTACAGCCAGGGGGTGAGAGAGGGGTGCTCTGTAGTTCCCTTCTATCCCCAAGAAACTTTAAAGAGCTTACAGGCCAGGCAAGCTTGTGAGCTCTTTAAAGTTACTGGTGCTTTAATGGGCTGCTGGTACTGGAGCACCAGCAGCATTTAAAAGTTCTGGGGTTGCAGGCACTAAGGGTGATGGGACTCCCGGTGTCTGCCCTGATCAGCCCCTGATGCCACCACATGCACAGAGCCCTGTCATGCTTGCCACTAGGCAATAAGCCCCTGCTGCTACTGTTTGTACTGGAGGCAAATATGAGGAGGCTCCCTGCAAGCAGTGGCAGTAGCTGATGGGGAGCTTGTACCCTCTCCAACAGCACCTGCTGCTGCTTGCAGGGAGCTGCCTCACCCTTGCCTCATAATTGTGGCTATTTCCGGGGTTCCTGTGGGGTGGGAGTGGGAAGACGAGAAAACAGCTCACTGCGCTGCAGGGACTGGTGCTGTTCCAGGAGCATTCCTGGGCATTGGGGCCTTTAAAGGGCACATGGATGGCCTGATAACAGAGAGCCCAGTGTTGGGATGTCTGCATTCCCAGAACTTTAAAGAACACAGGGACAACTCAGTACTGGAAAGATGCTCTCCCAAGTCAGGGTGCCCACGTGCCCTTTAAAGGTCATAGGACCTGGAAACCCCCAGCCTTGTGGAGTGGGGATGGGTATTGAGCAGAGCTGCCCCCATTCTGCTGGGTGCTGGGAAGCAACCCAGTTAGGCAGCAAGTTTACTGCCCCTTCTGCAGCTACCCTGTCCCCAGCATCAACAAGGATAGGGCTGACCATTTGCCTCAGTATGATGGTGGGGGAGGCTTTCAGGGAGCCAACTGCCCTCTCCTTCGCTCTCTCTTGCAGGGGTGGAGGGAGAACAGAACTGGGGGAATGTGAAGCATCTAAATCGATACCCTGCATCAACTGGCTAATTTTTCTAAGTTGGACTTTTGTTGTTGGGGTTTTTTTAATAATACTAATAAACTGAAAGAAAATCTTATTTTATACAATACCTAGCCTTTTCTTCCTATCAGTCTCTTAAAACACAACAAATTACAAAACAACTATGCAAGTATTCATGTGTTTCCTTACCCAATATATCCAACTGCCGTAGATGAGTACAGTTAGCAGCAAGTTCTTCAATGTCCGTGTCACACACAGATCGGTTGGCCGTAAGAAAGAGCTTTTGCAAGTTTGGGAGCTTACGTGCAATATTTGTGAAGCAGCCAGTGCTGCTCTGTAGAGTAGGGCACCAGCCAAGATCAAGCTCCTCCAGGAGCTGACAGCCTGAAGCCAGTTCTGCTATTCCATTTTCAGTAATGTTTTTACATCTCCACAAATCCAGAGTACGAAGCTTTTTGCATTTTGCTCCCATCATACTAGCTATCAGGTCATAGTCTTCAATCTATGAAGAAAACAAGGACCACCTCTTGTACGTCAAATTTCCAGCCACACCTAGCTGTTTCAAGCTGTCTTTTTACTAATATACCACTGATCTGCTTGAAGTGTTTTAATTTCCAAAGAATATGAACTAGGTCTTACTCCACTTTTTACAAATGACAATAACAACATACATTTTCTATGACTTTTAAAATTGTGTGGGTTTTTTTTTTATTTTCTTAATATGAAAGAACTTTGGAAATCTAGAACTAAAATTGATTTTCTTCACAAATGCTTTTGTTTACATCACTGCAGCTATTTCTGAAAAACTTTTAAATCTAAAATGTAGTTTAAAACATAATTAGTGGTAATAGAGAGACAAAAAATGAAGGGATAATAGCACTAGAGATAACAGGAGAAAAAGTATACACAAATGTGTACACTGAAGAATAAGCTGCGCTCCACTCCTGTTGAAGGTTAATATGGATCCACCCCTTAGGGAAGCACTACTACTCTCACCCCATAGGAAAAAATAGGGAAAGGAATAAGGATATGTGCCCTGTGGAAGCAAAATCCAGGAAGGAGTAACAGGAGTCTAGATTGCTGGAAGAATGAGTTTGTAGTGTTCCTTCCAATCTTTGCTGATCCAACTGGGACGGTCTAGCTACTTTTACTTTGTTTTTTGGATTCCTGAATGGATAGGCATGTCCAACCACATCTCCAATTAAGTATTCTGCTGGACCTTAGCCAATGAAAAGAGGTAAAATCCAGGGCTGCTAGTATCCATGGGCAACATCGCTCAGGCAGGGTCTCTCATCCACAATTCATGGTTAGTTTTATAACATAAAAACCTTGTTACTGGGAGACTTTAATAGAGATAAAAAATTAAGTTACACAAAAATCTCATCAGACATACACTTGCTACTGCAAGCTTGCCCATGAATAGGGCCCTGACTAAATCATGATTTCACAGACTGCATGGATACCATGAAACTAGCCCCACACTGCGATTTTTAAGGGTCACAAGCCTGTGCCAGAAAAAATATGCAAAAGTGCAGGTTCCCTTTTCAGGCTGGCAGCGTTCCAGCCCGCAAGGGGACACCTGGGGTTTTGCAGCTTCCAGCCTGCAAGCGGCTGCTGGGGGCGTGGCCAGGATGTAGCCAGGCAGCTGGATGAAAGTAAGTGTATAGGGGGCAGAGGGAGGGCACTGAGGTGAGT